TTGAGACGGAGTCTCACTTTCTTGCCCAGGCTAGAGTGAGTGCCGTGGCACCAGCCTAGCTCACAGCAACCTCAAACTCCTGGGCTCAAGTGATCCTCCTGCCTCAGCCTCCCAAGTAGCCGGGACTACAGGCATGCACCACCATGCCCGGCTAATTTTTTCTATATATATTAGTTGGCCAATTAATTTCTTTCTATTTATAATAGAGACAGGGTCTCGCTCTTGCTCAGGCTGGTTTCAAACTCCTGACCTTGAGCAATCCGCCCCCCTCGGCCTCCCAGAGTATTAGGATTACAGGTGTTAATACATTTTAGCATATTTGAAATGTGGGTGCCTTTAGGAGGCTAGGGCACTCTGCATATCACCGCTCCCTATTTTCTTATATCCACATTTATATACCTGCCTGGCTTCTGTAGGTGTTTAAGTTTGTGGTTCCAACAAGAAGACTCATTGCTAAAGACTTTATCATTGAAATAAACACAAGGTTTTTGCATCTGTGGATGCCCTAAAATTTAAAATAAAATTGAAACACACATGCTTAGAAATGTTGGGAGATTTATTGTAGACTCCTCTCCTCCAATATTTCCAAACAGTGGACTGCTTGTGAGAAATGCATCAGATGCGCTCACAGTGCCTGGCATGCTTTATTAGCAGCCATTACCAGAGCATCTGCCACAAATATTTAGCCTCCCTGATGTTTTTACACAGTCCTTTGTGCCACTGTGGGCAGACATCACTTGGTCAAATCTCAATTTTACTCATTTTCCTCTTCTCTGCCTTCAGGAAAACTAGCGTAATTATTTTCCAGTTGCCTTTTATTTTTTGGAAAAAATTATAGGAATCAGGTAAGAATTATTGAGTAGTATAGTACAGCATTTTCTTCTATTTTTTGTCTTGCTTGCCTGCCCATAAAAATGAGCTCTGCTATTGACCAATGTAGTTAACTATATTGCCAACTGTATTGGCCTCCAACTTTTTTTCATCTAAATCTATGCCAAAAAGTCTGCAATTGTTTTTTTTGTTTTTTTTTTTTTAAGTTTTAAGGCCATATAACTTCTCTGCGACTCTTACCAGGAAGAATGTATATATTTATCTGTATGAGTTAAATGTAGAAAAAGACATATGTAATTATGATGATTATGCATTTGACTATTAGATATAGTGTATTTGATATATCTGTGAGATCTAAAAATGCTATCAAATTGTATACTTAGAATGGATGAATTTTATTATATGTATATAATACTTTAATACAAATTTATTTTAAAGTATAAGTTATAAGACCACTGGGTAAACATGGCAGAGAGCATAAGCTTCCACTTCAAGTTCTACCAAAATAAAGGTAAAGAAAATGAAAAGTTATAAATTCATGATTGCAAAGTGATCAGAAGTGGAGAAAACAGTTAATTAAGGAGAAATGCCAATAAAATTTAGAATGACAGAAAGTAAAGAGGAGAAGACACTAAATCCTACATGCCTGCAGAGATAGATATAAACACATAGTCAATCACAGGCCCTCAGAAGACAACAATGGCAGTAGGTCTCAGAATTTGTCTCTGGGTACTCCAAAACAAGGTGACTGGAGTACAGAGCTGGGTGAGCAAGAGTCAGACCAAAGTTAGCCTGGCTTTGAAAACTGGGCAGGATGACAAACCAGACTTGGTTCAAAATTGCTTTCACACTTGTAACAACAAATCATTCCCAAAATAATCCCCAAACAGAGATACAAGGGGGTGTACCCAAGTGCCATTGTCTCCCACAAAGGTACATTGGAATTGTGGTAAAACAGCTTCATGTGCAAAAAATCCACAAATCAAAAGATCCCTATTATCCTACTATCCCTTAACTATCTGCCTAGGGCCCTATGAAGAAATTCTTTCCATGTAACAGTGATATTCTCTTGGGTTCTGCAAAGACCTACAGTAGACATAGTCATGCCCAACTCGGGATGAACGCTCACATGGGGGACAATTGGACCTTCAGGATCCCAACTGCACCCCAGATGGCCCAGTGACCCCCCTCTCCATCCTTGCAGGAGACTAGAAGTTGACTCTGCATAAACTGAGCAAACCAGTCTCTAGATTTGGGAACACTTGACACAGTAGAAAACAGTGGATGGGACTAGATTTAAAAACAGGGAGCTGAGTAAAAATGTGCATACAGAATGGTAAGATCCCAAACTCCTTCTCAGAGGGCCAGAAGCCAGGCCTATACAACTGAAGACAGAGACTAAAAGATCCTTCTCGGTAGAGTGTCAAAGATGTTAACCAAGACTAAAATGTAGGATTTTACTAATGAAATAGCTGCATTTACACATCAGGTCTCTACATCAAAGTTCATTTATTTTCAAGTCATTCCTAAGCACGCAGAATGTACAATTAGTTTGTAGGTGCTCCATTCTATAATGGAGTTAGATGTTCAATCTAGGATGATAAGACATTTAGGAAAGCATCGAGGATCAAAGATAGGGCTCAAATTCATAAACACTAAGAAAAAACTTATAGAAAATAATGCACAGACAATAATATATATATATACACACAAATATATTTATTTATGAATAGATATATTAGATTGAACCATATGAAACTGCCATTTTTTTAGATCAAATGAGCAAATAGCAGCAATTTCACAAGGTCAATAATGACCTAATATGCTACTAGTAGAAGTTCCAAAAGAGAGAAAAAAGGAAAAGAGTATAATTCTTTTTATTAATATTTGTGAGGCAGGGTCCAATATTAAGTAAATAATACCAGATAATTTTTTAGAAACAAAGGATACATTTCTGTTGATTAAAGGGATTCTCAGAAAAATGAATCTAGCAATGTAAATCATTCCAAAATTTCAGAACATGAAGAATAAGGAAAAGATGTTAAAAATATTCTAGATGGAAAAAAAAATTGGTCACACACACAAGGAGTATAGAGTGGTCATCTCATTGACAGCATTGGAAGTTAGAAAGCAATGGGTGATGCTTTGACAATGCTGAGTAAAACTAACTTTCAACCAATAATTCTCTCCTAGCAAAACTGGATGAAAGAAAGAATTTTTCAGATGTGCAAAAAAAATAAATATTCACCCTTTTCCCTGTATTCTTATCTCAAGAATATAATGAAGAATGTGTCTCACCAAAATAAAGGCAAAAGAGAAAGGCATGAGAAATAGGGTCCTGACTCAGAAAGGAAGCAAAGGAAATTTTCAGAACAAGAGAGCAAAGGAGTGCCGCTCTGCAACTGCCCAGGACAGCAGTACCCTGCGTGGCTCAGAGCAGACAAAGCTCCAGGCCCTTCGTGCTCAGTAAGGAAACAGAAATTATAGAGCAGACAGTACATTCTGCCATTTGCAAAATGGTGGCAAGCGGCTAACAGATGGTTGGCAATAATTATAGGTCTACATAAGAATAAACAATTGGAAAATGTGAGGCAACTACTAGTGAAAGTTATATGAGAAAGTAGAATTAATCATCCCTACTATTGGGGTCAACAATGAACAATATTGCATTATAAGAATAAATGGAAATACTGAGTATTAAAATAACTTCAAAACATGATATATAAATGAACTTTGTTGGAGAGAGAAAACAATGAATGGAAATAATTGTGTAACAGAGCCAAATCCTTAGCTGCCAAGTAAGAAGTCAAAAGATAATATCTAGCTCATAGCAGCTTCGTTTATAGTTAAATGCCCATCAATAATCAGATACACAGTGATATATCCTTATGATGGAATAATTCTCATCCATAAAAAGGAATAAACTGTTGATTCAAATGCAACATGGATGAATATCAAAATGATTATGCTGAGTGAAAAAAGCCAGATTAAAAAAAATTTACACATGATTTAATTTATATAAATTTCTAGAAACAACAAACTCATTTGTAGTAACAGAAAGTAGACTAATAGATGCCTAGAGCCCTGGGGGTTGGGGGAGGTAGGAGAGAAGGATGGATTTGAAAGAAGCATGAGAAAACGTTTGGGGTGATCAGAATGATGGGGATGTTCATTATCTTGGTTGAGGTAATCATCTCATGGGGGTGTGTATTTCATGGGATGTCAAAATGCATCCAATTGTAAAGATTAAATTTGTATGATTTATTATACATTATTTATACCTTAATAAACCTATACAAATAGTATAAAATTGACAAAATAAGGAATTTCAATTTTAAAAATATATTTTAGCAGAAGCACATAAATAGCAGAAAACACATCCAAAGACTGGAAAATGACAGTCTCTGGGGAACAGGACTGGGAAAGAGGCAGATATTGCTAGTTCTTAATGTAAACTTAAGAGTACAGTTTATCCTTTAAAATCATGTGCATGGATTACTTTCATAAAACTTAATAAATTGTAGGTACATTCTAAAAAATATGTGTACATACACACTCACATGTACTCATGTTTTCACCAAAGAGGACAAGAATGTGTGTGTGAGGGGTTGACTTTTGTGTTTAGCCTTTGTGGTTCAATAAATAGTTAGAAAATGGATTAAAAGGGTTCACTTTTAGTTAACTGAAAATAGAGGTCTATGAAGAAAAAGCTTTACTTGCCTTTTAAGATTATCTTTTTGCTTATAATCTTTTGCCACTCAATTAACCACAAAGTCAGGAATGCTGTAACTGGTAGATTCTAAGGAAGAGTGGTTTAGGAGAATTGGACAAATACAGCTGATACAACCTTTAAGGTATATTTTTCTCAGTCTCTGACCAGCTTTCCAAAATTTGGAAGCTGTGTTTTCAAATTTTCCAGTGGTCAGGAAACTGTAGGTTTGAGGTCTTCCTACAATGAAAGGAGGTCTCCTTCAATATGCCTGGTGATTTAGCTACTATGTCCTGAGTATATCCACATAATCAGATGACATGAGTAAAAACCAAAGTAGAGATTTCAGGGGAAAAAAATCTTGTTTTCATAATCAATATTCACTTTAATGAATGAATATATGAACAAAAATACTACAACCAATATCTGATCTATAATAAGACAGTAGTCAGACCCAAACCTGGTAAATCAAGGAAGAAAAGCACAGGTAATGCAGATTCAGGTGATGTCCCTGTCATACTGCTCATTCCACTTTGTGCCACAAGTTTTCTTGGAACGTTATGACTATGAACTGAAACACATATAAGAGAGTTCTTTAAACACAATGAAAGTAGTAATTAATGATTAATTATACTTTGTGCCTTGGAATCTAGTGGTAAATACTCAGAATAATACATTTTATAGTAACTTGAAATAACTTCTAAAATTGGTCATAATCTTGATCATTGGAACATTGCCTCTGAGTTTGATTTTGATAATAAAATTTATCAGCATGTAAACACCTTGTTAAGTGTTTCTATCAGATGAGCCTTCCTCCTGTGGAAAAGCTATTTAAAATAACAAAGAAAACCAAACACCGGGAGGTGATGACTTTATTGCCAAATAGAAACAGACTCTGCTCCTTGTTGCATCAGAACATGTCATCGGAGCATGGGTGGGAAACTGTGCCTGTCTTACAAATACTTCCTAATGAACCCCTAATGTTCATGGGGGGTTTTCCCCCAAAATTAGTACAAACCTGTACAACTGCACATTTTATTATCCATAACCATTTCCCAAAACACATTGGTACTTTGCTTACGATTACATGGACCTACACTGGTTTAAATAATAAAAAAAAATTAGACAAGGAATTAGAGCTATGCCCATGGAGATATGAGAAAGTTTATTCAGTCTACATGTGGACCCTAATATGGCTAAATGAATCATCTTTATGTTCCTCCATCAGCATCACTTTAAAAATCTCCATCTCCCCTTGTCTCCCCAATCATTGTACAGACACAGAGAAGCCCAGACAGGTGAAAATAAGGCACTTCAGAGGATTCTTTATCAAACTTAATGCTGAATTCTCAGTAGAAATTCGTTGCATATAATTTCCAGAATACAAATATATTTGATTATTACTGACATAGAAATCAATGACAAGAGATAGGAAGGGGAAATACAAAACTCATATATCTGAATATACCTGAATCTTCACTGATTTTTTTTGGGGGGGAGTGGGGGTGAAGGGAGGGAATTCAGGTTCCAGAAAAGGAAGTCAAAGACTAGGAGATGAATGAATGAAAATATCATAACCTTTTCAGATGACTGGCTAACAGCATCAATTATAATGTGTCCATCTAAGTTAGCACAGAAAGAAAGCAGAAGTTCCAAGTCCTTAGTAAGCAGAAAATAAATAGTCATGTGCTATGTTTCAACAGTTATAAACAAAAACCAGAGCAATTAAAGAAAAAACATTACTCATTAAATTCAAGCTATAGTTATTTTCTAATTAGATTTACATGTAGCCAAGTTCTATGGCCAAAAAACTATCTTCTGCTTTTTATGTATGTAATGAAACAGAAAAACCCTTTTATTTCCCTGGTTCTGAATGATAGGGATAATGGTATCTTTAAAGCCACCATGGCACCAGACATTTTACAATTAGAATCAGCCAAGTTACAGAGAACACAGTGACCTATAGCTTATTCAAAACCACGTAATAAAAACCCAGTTCCCAGACACAATCTTCCAAATGAGGAAAATCACAGATACCATGGCAGGAACATGATATGTGAGAGATGTTGATTGTGCTGTGAGATGAAGAGCATGGACTTTGAGGTCAGAGGTGCTTGGTTTAAGTAGAAACCCTTCTTCTTGCTTAGAAACAGAGCAGCCTGGGGCAAGTCTCTTGGGCTTTCTTAGCTGAAACATCTGCCTCAATATGCTTGTCCTACACCTTCCTAGAGTTATTATGTAGAGATCAAATAACATGTAAGACTGCATCATACTTTACAAAGTGTTATACCAACATAATGCATTCATTTTCTTTCTTAGTAAAACTGAACAGATCCTGAGTTACAGGATCATCCTGAAAACGTTGCAACTTAATGATACATAATAAGATCCTGTAATTAGGTCTTGTATCAGTTACTATGGAAAAGCAAATTTCGTTTACCATAATGGAATTTTTTTTATAATAATGTTCTTAGTAAAACTCAACCTGATTATATTTTTCAAATGGTTGTAAAGAAATTCAGTGCTTTAGGTGAAATGATTTTAAAATTAAGTCTTCACCCTTTCTGTTTGGGGTGGCAGATTTTAACAGTGGTGAGACCACCTTTTAATGAACAAAGAAAGACTGAGGACAAATAGGAGATGCCATGTCACATACACATAATGGGTATTTTCTTCTTAGTAGATACACAATAATTATTTACACATGAATTTTAAGAATTTCATCATAAATACTGATGAAGAGACCACTACCACTTTTATAGGGAATTACAGGGCTGAGAAATGTTAAAATAGCCAACCTAGTTTGGAATTTCACTATCTTCTTTTTTCTTGGTGACCTTTGCTTTAATTATAATTATAACAATTATAAATATCCACCTAGAATTCTAGAATTGATAAAGCAATTTCAATTCCGTGACCTCATTTTACACTGTGTTAGTCCATTTTTTGTTGCTTATAACCTGAAAGTGGGTAATTTATTAAAAAAAATATTTCTTACAATTCCAGAGGCTGGGAAGTCCAAGGGCATGGCTTGGCATCTGGTGAGCCTTCTCCTGGTGAGGACTCTATGGAGTCCTGGGGCTGAGTGTGCTAGTGTGCTTGTTCAGGTCTCTCTTCCCCTGCTTATAAAGCCATCAGTTCCATTTCTATTATAACCAATTAATCCTGTGGTCTTCAACTCCTGGGCTGTGGATTGGTACTTGTCTGTGGTCTGTTAGGAACCAGGCCACACTGCTGCCTGAGCTCCGCCCATATCCATCTGTGGAAAAATTGTTTTCCATGAAACTTAGGAACTAGGTGGCACAGCAGGAGGCGAGTGGTGGAGTAGTAAGTGAAGCTTCAAAGCTTCATTTGTATTTACAGCCCCTTCCCATCACTTGCATCACTGCGTGAGCTCTGCCTCCCCACCTTCCACCCATCCATGGAAAAATTGTTTTCCATGAAACTGGTCCTTGGTGCCAAAAATGTTGGGGACCACTGCATTAATCCATTAACTCATTGATCCATGATCCAGTCACATTTTAAAGGCACACCATTCAATATTGTGACATTGAAGATTAAGTTTCCAACACATGAAATTTGAGGGGCACATTCAAACCATAGCACTTATATTAATACAACCCAGTATAGCAAGTTTTACCATGACAATGACTATACTTGCCTATAACACAGATGTCAGGGGAAGAATCAGTAATGATGACCAGTGATGATGTCTTTGATAGAAAGGCCTGGGTCCGTGGTTATTGCACTAGGCTGCTCAGCAGTGTAGTAATACTCAACTGCATGTCCATGTCAAGCCCAACTGTGGCTCAATGTAAAGGACAACATTACAATAACCCAAACTCCCATGTCTATATGTAGGCTAGTAAACATTGGACACATTGGCTCAGATGACTTCATAGTCCCTTACAACCCTAGGGGATTGTACCCTGATTTACATCATAAGTGCCTCTGGTTTAGGATGAATGTATTTTCATGCAAGGCTATACATATGAAAGGAAAGTTAGCTTCCATTGACTGTATTATCTTAAGTCAGTAAGTTTGGATTTCAGGTACCTCATTAGAAAAATGGTTTACCAATACCTGACCTTCCTATATCATAAATGCATATGTGAAGGTAGAGGTGTTCTACAAATATTAGGTGGTCTTAACAAATTCACTGCTAGACCCCTATCCTTCTGACTCTAATCTGGCCGTTTCCTTTAGATGATGCTGTCTGACTTAATATCATTTCAAAAGACTCAGCGGATTCACCATCCTGAGATTTCATGAGATATGCTATGGATTCCGATCAACACATATCCTTTCCAACAGTCATGCAATTGTGGCCTCATCCCCACACATTGGTCTGAGTCTGTTTATGGTCAAAGGCACATCATCCAGATACAAAAGAACGTTACCTCTCCGAGTCCCTCACTGTGAGGGTAAGGAGTCTTTAAGTAAGACCATCCTTAGATCAGCAGGAAGACAAGAAAAAGAGTGTATTTCCCCTCTTCTAGGTTTCTCAGGGACCTTCTATCACTTTCCAATGATACCAGCACACACACAGACATATTTCAGAGAGGAATTATTGTATCTTTTCATAATATATGACATGATGGATATTATTAGTTCTCTCCTGAAATTACACCACTATCGTGTAATATTTGCCACAAATATTCTAAAGGATGTCTAAATTTCTTTCAATTTTGACATCCAGGATTCTTTGCTGGAACCTGGGAATATGAGCAGGAGTTGGCAAACCAATAAGACAGTTGGGATACTACATTGAAATTAAAAGCCTTTTGGATTTCCCTAAGCTTTCAAGTCATTGTGTGCAGCTACTGGGGCCAAGGCTGCATAAGGATGGCTGGGTGTCTCCTGGCCAAATTGCTTTCCTTGGCACCCTCTGTAGTTTAGGCATGCCAGAGACCCTGGTCTAATTCAGCAGCATCTGCATGTACAAACACACACACACACACACACACCCCACAAAAGAAAAATAAAATACCTGCAGTAATCAAGGTTTTTTAATTACCAAATATATTTTGATTGATGCAGAATACCACAATGGATCCCGATGCCTATCAAAGGTATGATTTCAAGGCTCTGTGTACTCTATAATGAAAAAAATACATGAGCTATTGTTTCTATTGGACAATAATCCTGTGATGTTTCCATGTTTTTTTTCTATACATAAGGCCTTATCTCATGTTAATATTTCATAGTAATAATAAAGTTTCATAAATTGTCTAACTACTTCTTTAATGCTTTGAGAGCTAATTCAGGCCTGGAATTTGATTTTTAAAAATTTGAATGTGAATGCAAACATTATTTTTTCTTCAAATTAAAAAAAAAATGTAAGAAAGAACATGCAAGAGTTTTTTTTTTTTTAAAAAAAGGCTAAAGACTATGTAAACAAATATATCTAAACTACTTACTCTCCTAACAATTTTAATAGTCATGAGCATTATTTTCTGTCATCACTGCTTCTGTTATTATCACTTGAATACTTACATCAGGAATGGATCAAATCAAACTCTAGATATGCTTCCTTTTGACATCTTGGGAGGAACATATATAACACTGGAAGAAACTCATTCCATGCTGTCTAAGAAATAAAGAACATTTTCAGTGAAATTGATGCAAAGGCATTGGGAAGCTTCAGGAAAATATGTTTTCATGCATTACAGGAGATATGTATTTTCTTCTATTACCTTTTGTTGATACCATTTTCATCAATAAAGGTCTTCATCTGGCTACAAAAGATACAAAGAAAACTCTTTTTATATCATAGTGAGAACAACCTTGATGTAGTTCCCCTGGCTTTGAATTATAATGTATGTCATCAGTAATGTAAGTTGTTATAATTTACTTCTGACATTAAGATGTTGCTTTAGGGCATATTGTTGCAAATGTATCCTATTCACTTTCTTGCCTTCTAAATGCCCTTCATGTTTCGGTAAAACAATCCAATCAAAACTAAAGACCAAAAACACTGTAAAACAAATCAAGCATACAAACGGTTCCTAAGCATTCCTGTTACATTTTAGCCCTTTAGCCACAGGCTCTTAAATTTCGTAAGCTGTATATAGTAGTTTAACTTGGCAATCAGGCGACAGAAAATGTCATTGTGAATATTGTTTTCAGTCAGGTTCTGAGGGGCTGCAGAGAAAGACCTGGAGGATACTGGAATTATTTGGATCACGGGAAGCCTATCCAGGTAAAGTTCTCAAAGATCAATCCAGAGTGAATTAACCATGTTTCTTCCCCTTGTGCCAGCTTGGCCCAGGACCCTGACGACTGTGACCTCACACTGGAACTGCAATCAAGAGGCCCACTGCATCTGCCCCACTGAGATGTCCCCAATCAGATAGGGATCCCATTTGAAGGATCTGGTTTGTGGTTGGTGGCAAAAGAATTAATTCAAAGCTGTTAAAGAGAAATTCCACCTGTGGAGTCTCTGGAATAAGGATTTTTATTGTTACTACCAGTGATAAACTAAATTTCTGAAGCAGAATATGAATTCACCATAGGACAGAAATTGCCAGATGTTTGTTGCAAAAAATATCAGGTTGCCAATGGGGGAAGTGGTGGCAAAATTGTTTCTGCAGTGACACTTTTGTTCCAGAGTCGAAAGTGGATTTTCATATTATCAAATAGAATAATTTAATATTATTCTTAAGTACCCTACTTTCAGACAAATAATTGAGAGACAGTATAGTATGTGTGTGTGTGTGTACACATGTATGCATATACAGTTTTCCACATTAGAAAATGACCTTAGAGTTGGAGTCTTTTTAGATAACATCTTTTCTAGTTTTAATTATTCCATATAGTACATAATATCTATTAAGTCTCTAATAAAAACATGGTACCATCCTAGCTGCTAGGGATATGCCAGTCATTGAAATAGACATGGTTCCAGGCCTCATGGAGCTAACATTCTACTCAGGGCAGGCAATAATGTATAAGTAAATAGATAAACAATGTAGATTCTGATAAACACTATGCAGAAAATTGAACAGACTAATGCAATTCAGAATGACTGAACTAAATGGCTGTCCCTTTACATCATCAGAAGGACTTTTCTAGAGACATGATATATGAACTGAGACTCAAATAGCCAAAGAAATGTGTTCACAGCAAGTGCCAAGTGTTTCAGAGCATGTGCAAAGACATAGGGAGGGAACACATTTGGCTTATCTTAGACATAGAAAAATATATAGGTTATGGTCACCGGTGCCCAGGCAACAAAAGGAGGATGGTACACGAGGTAGGCAGGGGTTGACAATGTAGAGGCTTTTCAGCTGCTGGAAGAAGTGTGGATTTGGTTTTTAATAAGACATTGTGGAAGATTTTTAAGAAGGTCAATAGCATCATCTCATTCTGGCTAGTCTTGGACGATGGTATAGGGAGGCAAAAGTGGAGAGAGGGAAAGTGGGAAACTATTAGATTAAAGGGAAAAGATGGCAGTGCTGTGGGCTAGGACGGTGGCAGTGGAAATGCAGAGAAGGGTCCATATTTGGGCGTATATTAAAAGCAGAACACCCAGAAATTGCTGATGGTTTGTGGTAGACACAAGTCTACAATGGCCCCTAAGATTTCTGTCCCTGGTATACATGCCCTGTATAATCTCCTGCCCTTGAGTATGAGCAATACCTGTGACTATGTTGGGATAGTCACTCCCATGGCTACAGTATATTGTATCAGATTTCCTTATAGCGCAATGGAGTGAAAGTTTTCTGCTGGCTTTGAAGAAGTAAGTGGCTCTATTGTAAGAAGGCCATGTGGCCAGTATCTGAGGGTGGCCTCCAGGTGCTAAGAGCCACCCTCAAATGACTGGGGACTTCAGCCCTACATCCATGAAGATCTGAATTCTACTGTAGATGGCAAAATCCGAACTCTGAAATATTTGAAAGAAGTTTATTCTGAGCCAAATTTGAGGACCATGACCCAGAGCCACTCCCAAGAAGCCTTGAGCAAGTGGACTCAATGTGGTTAGGTTACAGTTTGGTTTTATATATTTCAGGGAGACAAGGGT